ATATATATATATAATACGTAACATATACTTAATAAATAATGACAAAGTTAATTACAAATTTGTAATTATATCTGATAATGTATAAAACATAACATTATCATAATATATTTAGTAATACACTGTAGATAATCAATATAACATAATGATATTATAATAAAAACAGTACGTTTTAGTGTTTGTAAATTTTCTTGCAAATTTGCATTAAACTGCTAAAGTTTTGAAATTTGATGAGCAATGATCGATATTACGGATATAAAGATACACAGATTCTTCCGCCCTATTATTTTCATAACCATTCGCCTCTTCCCCTAATAGGATCATTAGAACCGTAAGGTGCACACTTTGGGGGAGAAAGAGAGAGAGAGAGAGAAAGAGAGAGCGTGCATAGATCCACGCTGAAGCCACTTGAAACTGAAGCGGGAATTGAGAAGCACTTGCCTATCTCTTTCGTTTTACGCGTTCGCGATTAAGTGCAGCCACACGCTCGTTCCTTAATCCGTCGTAAGCATGCTCTTCTCGCCACTCGATGCCCGCCACGAAATCTCAAGTGGTCTCGTTTGCATGTGAAATTATTCGATCGTGCCAGATTAGAACAACCGGTCAAAAAAAAAAAAAAAAAAAAAGGTAGCCTCGCAACTGGCAAGGATAAATCGCTGACGAACTCTACAAGGCCGAAGTGTATCTCGATAGAATCTGAAGATAATTATCTCACGCTTCTCTTCGCTACCTTTCCCTAATATTTCAATTTTCTAAAATTCTATACAATTTTTCTCGACACGCTTTTCAACGGGTCTTCTCTCCATCTTCGTGAGAAAGAATCATAATATTTTTATTTGTATATTTTATTTGGAAATGACCATTGCTTCCTAACGAAAGAATGCCTTACTCGAAAAGTATCTTACGATGCCTCAACAGGTTTTGCAGTTCTAAAGAGAAATTTTTCAGAAACGTTATATTCGTTATGTGTCATTAAGAATGCTGATTCATCGGTCTTATTTAAAATCCGTCAAGATTACCTGTTCCCATACAGAGAACTCTTCTGTTCCATTCGGAAACAAACATTCTAGAAGAATCCATTGAAAAATATTTGGAGAAAATTTCGAAGATGTTACCGGCCTTAAATTTAAGGGCTGTCGCGCGAGCTGTGCCATTAAGTTAGAAGGGGGAAAAAAATGCAGATTAGATCAAGTCGTAATTAAATTCGCTCCGTTTTTCGCAGAGACGGTGAAGATCCTGCTGCAGAAGTCGGAGAACAACACGCTGGTGATGTTCAACCGCACGTACGGCGCGATGGCGGCGCAGAGCGGGCCGTCGATCCGCGCGCTTTACCAGGCACTGGCTGACTACGTGTCGCCCGAGAACACCTCGCCGGACAATCTGCTGCCGTCGCTGACGCGCGACACGCTGCAGACGCGCTTCGCCGAGTTCTTCGCCCGCATGTTCCCGAACGCGTACCACTTCGCGATCAATCCGCAGCGGGATCAGCAGGACTTCACCGAGAAGTTCAAGTCCTGCCTGCGCGAGCGCATCGACGAGATACAGCCGTTCGGCGACGTGCCGCAGGACATATACAAGGAGGTCGCCAAGAGCCTCGAGGCCACTCGCGTGCTCGTGCAGGCGCTCAACATGGGCAGGACCATCCTCGACAAGACCGATGGCTCGCTGTTCGCCGCCGGCAGCAGCCCGCAGCAGGACGCCTGCTACGCCGCACTCTTCAGAATGACCTATTGTCCCAGGTGCCGAGGGATCAGACAGGCCGTGCAGCCTTGCCAGGGATTCTGCACGAACGTAATAAGGTGAGTCACACCCGATCGCGCGTCATGCGAAAGAATGAAGGCCCTAAAAATTCCCAGAATAAACGGTTTTCTTAGCACTAAAGCCCGCTCTTAGTGACTAATTCACGTTTCCAACGAACACAATGCTGCGGGGGGGAAAAAAAAACATCGCCGATCCTCGCTGAAAGGATGAAACCGAATCCGATAATCGCGCCAATATTCCGTCCGTTCTCATATGTTCTTCTCGCGCGCGGGTGACTCGGCGAATGGATTTATAATTATTGTAATTATCGGCAACACGGCCTCTCGCACGGGCGGATTATTATTTATAATTTGAGATTCGCGAAATTGTAATTGTGGAGAGGTCATTATACAGTGATTTATGATTATGATTATTGTAATAATAATTATATGATAATTGCGAGGTGATGCGAGACCGCGGTCTTATTTCCGCCGTTTCGCTCTGCGTCGGAAAAAAAGTGCGCGGGGGAAAAAATGTAAATGAATGTTGCAGAGGCTGCTTGACGGAGCCGACGTCCCAGCTCGACCTCGCGTGGTCCGGTTACGTGGACGCGGTCGACAAGCTGATCGTCGCGGTGGACGGCGAGCACGATCAGCTAGGCCTGAATCTCAGGGGAACGGTCCAGAAACTGGACGGCCACATTTCGATTGCCATTATGCACGCGATGGAGGCCGGGCCGCAGGTCGAAGAGAAGGTAAGTGCGACCGAGAGTCCTTATACAGGGTGGCCCGTCCGCGTTTCAACATCGAAGCGTTCGCTCATTGATCTGAATTCATTTCGAATAGATCGATATTGAGAACTTCGTCGGAATAAAAGAGATCGATTGACAATCAATTCTCATTATCGGGAGTTTTTGCCAATCGTAATTATGCGCTTGAAAAACTGCGCGCAGGATTGTTGTGTAAAGCAAGGAATTGAATGTTGGAACATTAACGGCACTGAATAAAACGAATTAAATTGATTTTTTGATCACGAGATTTTTCACTGCGTTTGGTAAAGCTAACAGTATTTTTTGATGCTGAATTTATATGTGTTTTTAATTGTGCCACACAGGTTTTTTATGTGGCACAAACTGATAAAATTCTATAAAACACACACCATTTTTACAGTGTGTGTACGATATAAAGCGATTATATTATTTAAAATATTTAGCTACAGTTTCAGTATTTTATTGTATATTTTACTCGGATAAAATTTTGTTTTCTGCGGTAATCCTTTTAATTAAAACTAAACGTATATTTGTACATGCACATACACAAATCGCTCGGTCATTTATACGCGATGACTCATCGAGTGTCATCGGTTGCGTTATAAACTGTTGGCAATTAATTTTTTTCCAATAACTACAGACGCGTCATCTTCATGAATAAATAAATGATGAAATTGCACTTTTAAATTCAGCACAAAAATATATTCGGGAAATATCAAAAATGCATCACACAAATCTCGCGTCGCCGAACATTCTTCGGACAATCGAGAACGAGCGATTTCGCCCGAATTAAATATTCAACGCGCGGTGCGCGTCATATATTCGTAAGATCTCGGAGAACGAGGATCTTTCTGAAAGTGATTTATGAGATTCCTGAAATATTTGAGCAATTTTATGAGCACCTGTATCTCGCCGAATAGCGTGATACATTGATATATATTTCTCAGAGTAGCGAACACACACCTCTCGCGATTTACCGCGAGCTTTAAATTCACGCTTAAACACTCTGCCATTTTAACGCCAAGTCGTTACTCTCTTTTTCCCGACGCTTTTCACGTACGTTTTCACACAGCGCGCCGCTTTATTCCGCATATTGCCCTTCTCGAGACAATTCTTCGTTCGGCGAGCACGCATAAGTTATGTACTCGCTCGCGCCTCACGTTCGCCTTGCCGCCCTCTTTCACGTCATATCTCTCTCTCTCTC